AATCACAAACTTTTTGTTTGTTGTTTTATTTTTATGTCTTCAAACAAAAATATTCATTTTATGACACGGACACAGCGCTCTGTATCGATAATTGAAGTTGATGCATGGCTCAGCACTATTTATCTCGCACACATGCACATTTCACTCATACCGGTACATTTCGTTTTTGGTCTCACCCTAATCACTTCATCGCCAATCATTGTATACAATATCTATGGATATAACAAACAAATAAGACGAATTGACGAGACCATTTTTACGTCTTTTAGAACTGAAGTCTGTGTCAGTACTGCCCAACCCTGCCACGCTATCCGTGAATTTCTGAAACATCAGGGGACTTATCTCGAACCTAAACGCTGTCCACTGCCACCTCGAGACGGCGAAGCCGGCCTTGCTCTTTCTGACCGAAACGAAAGTGTCCTCTGCGGCTGATACTTCGTATCTCTCCTACCCGGGGTACAAGTTGGAGCACTTCTTTGTGCCTCGGGCTGGAGTTTGCGTATATGTCAGAGAGGACATCTGTTCTCGACGCCTCGGCAGGCATGAAGGTTCCGACCTGTCCATCCTTTGGCTACGCGTAGACAGCGACGACTATCCGCGCGTCTCTATAGGTCCCATAACGGTAATGCCGAAACAGACCGACTCATCGACCACGTCCAAATGGCTACAGATTCCTTGCTACAACAAGTCCCATCCGCAGAGATCGTGATCCTTGGCGATTTTAACGCACACTACGCCGAATGGCTCGGTTCACGTTTAACCGATCTTGCGGGGAAATCTGTTTATGACAAATACCTTGAGGATCACCAGCTGATTAGTGACTGCCAATACGGTTTCCGTCGGGGTCAATCAGCTGGTGATCTTCTGGTCTACCTGACTCATAGATGGGCGGAGGTAGTAGAGTCCAAGGGGTAGCGTTGGCCGTTAGTTTGGACATTGCGAAGGCCTTCGATCGGGTTTGGCACAAAGCGCTTCTTTCGAAGGTCCCTTCCAATGGGTTGCCCGAGAAATTGTGCGATTGGATTACCAGCTTCCTTGCAGATAGGAGCATCAAGGTCGTTGTAGATGGTGCATGCTCTGACTACAAGCCTATTAACGCTGGTGTTCCACAAGGCTGTGTGCTATCACCAACGCTGTTTCTTCTGCATATCAATGATATGTTGCTAACTGGTAACATTCATTGCTATGCGGATGACAGCACTGGTGATGCTCTATACACCGGCCGTGCCAATATTTCTCGGGAAAACGTCGCCGAGTACCGGAACAAACTTGTGTCTGAAGTCGAGTCTTTGCTGAACAAAGTCTCGGATTGGGGGCGACTAAATCTAGTCCAGTTTAATCCTCAGAAGACACAAGTTTGCACGTTTACCGCTAAAAAGAACCCTTTCATCGTATCTCCTCAGTTTCAAGGCACTCCCCTTCTTGCCTCAGCCAGTATCGGAATCCTCGGAGTCGACTATCGAGTGACGTGCAATTTCGTGGTCACTTGGAAGAGAAGGGCAAATTGGCCTCTAAAAATCTTGGCGTGCTCAGCAGAGCGGGACAGTATTTCATTCCGGCACACCGCCTGCAACTTTACAAGGTGCAGGTTCGACCTCACATGAAATACTGTTCCCATCTCTGGGCAGGGGCTCCCCAGTGCCAGCTCCTTCCACTTGACCGCATCCAGCGCAGAGCGGCTCGAATCGTCGACGACCGAGTCCTTTCCGATCGGCTCGATTCATTGGCACTGCGAAGAGATGTTGCTTCCCTTTGCATTTTCTTTCGCATTTACCACGGGGAGTGCTCTGAGGAATTGTTCGGATTAATCCCAGCCGCCAAATTTCACGAACGCACATCGCGACAGAACTCTCGATACCATCCACACCATCTGGATGATTGGCGGTCCACCACTGTGCGATTTAGAAGATGTTTTCTTCCTCGCATGACTTCCTTGTGGAATCAATTACCATCAGCGATTTTTCCGCACCGATACGGCTTAGTGACCTTCAAGAAAAGAGCCTACTCCTTTTTAAAAGGCCGGCAACGCATCTGCAATTCCCCTGGTGTTGCGGTTGTTCATGGGCGGCTGTAGTCACTTACCATCAGGTGAGCCGCATGCTCGTTTACTGCCACTCCTATAAAAAAAAAATTATGAATAGACTTTTCTTGTTATAATTTTTTTCGCCTCCTAGACCATCTAATTGGCAAGTTTTATATTTATATTATTCTATAAACGAACAACGGCTCCTACGGCAAAATTAAAAGCAATCTAAATAATTAAAATAAATATAAATGTACCCGTTTGATTTGACAATGTCCTTGATCAGGGTGAGGCAACTTTGTTTCATACAAGCTGAGAAATCTGCACACCATCATGATATTGTCAATGTTTGTGTTGGGCTTGTAAAAATATAGCGAGAAAATAATATTGCTGTTTCTTTCTTTCATGTTGTTTAGATTGCCAAAAAATTAGATACAAAATAACTGAAGAACCGAAAAATGTTAATTCTGTGTTAAACTTTTAATGCTTTGCTCTGTAAAGTATAATTACATACTCTGAGATTTGCACAATTAATTTACCTATTATTTGATTAAAATAAAATTATTAAATATTAGCAGAATTCTATCAAAAAGCCATGAACTAAAAGAAGAAAAAAATGACATTTGTTTGTCAACGTCTTTTAAATTGAAAATATTTTCTGAAATTTATTCTAATTTGTTTCATAGGTTTAGATATTAATATTTATTATTGATTTTTGCTTAAATTCAGTTATTATGGGCTCTGAATACTTCATTTTTGTTTGTAGGCGAATACACAGTCATAATATCGTAATGAATAGTCAGTAAAGATTTTTTGTGGGATGTTAACTCTGCATAAGATATTGACTAATAAATTAATTCATTATTTCAATATTTTATGCCCGATATGTGATCATCATCGAAAGTAAGTTAATTTTTGTGCAAATAAAAAGCACAAAATCATCTGATCACTTTCTGCATGTTTACTATAATAGGAAAAGAAAAACTAATGTTGTGGTAAGTCTATAAACATTTTGAATTTATTGACCGTTATTTGTAGGAATTATTATATGAGAATTATGCTGATTTAAATTTACGTTAATGTTCTGTGAAGAATAACTCTCTGACAATAACATGTGTTATATATCACTAACAAGCGTGGAAATATTATGTGCAAAAGCAATAAAATCATGAATAATAATGTGTAGTTTATAAAACAATGTCTTCCAAAAAATAAAATTATATAACTGTACTTATTTATAGTTTTATTTTACCCCATAGGTTTGTGAGGCTTGAGCCAAAATTTCTCGAATATGCCTTAAATAAAAAGTTTAATGTTATATTCTGTAGGTTTGAATTTCTCGCGAAAAAAGTTTCACATGGGCGCCCACTGTGGCGCTAGAAGTATAAACTTTAATTAGTTTGGAGATGGCGTTCTTCTCTTGGTAGAGAGTAATTGTGTTCTGGGTCATCGATAAAGATAACCGAAATTAAAAGTTGCTCCCCTTTTCTTATATATAATTTTTACTATGAGAGTTGCACCAGCCTGTTGTAATCTAAAAATCATAGATTACTGTAAAAATCTACAACAACATTACCAATTGTAATTTTGCCATAGACAGTTTTCAAAAACTTTTTCACAATGTGTTGATGCGCCACATTGCAAAGTTTGTAGGACATTTTGTAACAGCTTGAAATGATAAAAAATAATTTGTACATACAATGTTTGATCATAATTTTAGCCAATGGGCGCTTTACCATTCGTCGTATATTTAAATTTTATTTTTAAATTATGCAAAAATAATTTCCTACTTTGTCAGCGTAAATTATTATAGGCAAAAAACTCATATGTTGTATTTGAACGTGCTGTTTTCCAGAATCATTACGAACCATCTCACTTCTTCTCTCAAATTTCCAGCCTCCAGAAAAATCCGGTTTCCGAACACGCTTATGTACCATAGACCACATACGTACGCTACTACAAATTGTACAGAAGACCGAACAGTCTGCCGCTTTGTCTTATATATGTAGAATCTGAGAAAGCCTTTGATTCCGTCGAAATTTGGGCGGTGCTATAGTCACTTCAGCGGTGCCAAGTTGACTGTCGATGTATTGAAGTGCTGAAGTGTTTGTACAGTAGGGTTACGATGGCTATTCGAGTACAGAACCAGACTATGAAACCTATCCTGTAATTGTATATAATGCATTACCACACATTTTGAATTTAAAAGCTTAAAAAGGCAGAATGTTTGAGATTTTTTTAAACAATTTTTCTTCGCCATTTGCATGTATTACTTATTCTGAATGTTCTCTGCAAATTTAGCCGGTTATTGCAAAATAAACCTGTATTTTAACTACAAGCTTATAAGAACTCGGTGACAACTTTACCTAGTGCTATTATCACATAAAGTTTGATTGACTTATTTACTCGGTTTCGTAATTTTAAAAGACAAACAGATTCCTGATGAATTCAAGAATGCATTTTCATCCAAATTTATACATATTATTCAACATCCTAATAAATATGATAAAGTAGAACTCCATAAATGTGTTTTTACTCGTTATTATTTACCTATAAATGTTTAATGGTAAGATTTTTGATAACGACCTATATAAAAAAATATTAGCCAAATGTTTTAGGCGTTTGAATACTCACGCATCGTGTGATAAAAAATAAACGAATTAAAAAAATATTTAAAGTTGCCAAGTTTGCCTGTATTTTGTTTTAAGGCTCTAGAGTTAAAACTTTTTCTACTCATAAAAGTATTAAAAGAAAACATAACTAAGTTTTGCTTTTGTTTCGTTTTGTTTATAATATCTTTGGGGTTTTGTAATTTGAAAGAGTGGTAAAATATTTATGAATAATCTGGAAAAATCCATAGACTTCCACTTGCGCTAGTACTTTTTATTAGTTTGTGCTATATATAAATATAAGAATATTAGTCAACAATATAAGTTTTATCCGTGTATCAAAAAAGGACCAGTTTAAAAATACAAAAATGAATCCAACGCCATCGCCGTTAAATTCATTTCAAAGTATTGATGTAAATAGTCCTAATTTTTACAACAATTTACAAGACGAGATAGACATTGATTTAGCGAGACTGAAGAAAAATGTTACAATAGTACGAAATTTGCGAAGTAAGTTTAAAATTTAATCCGTTACTTAAATTTATTAACAATTTTTTTTCTACTTCAAGAACATGACCAACATTATCATTTCCTCATTTGCTTTTGAGTTGTATATAATATTTTTTTATTAAAACGAAACACATTCACTTACCTACTTATAGCGCGTAGGTTGTTTTATTGCATCCAAATCTTTTCAACAATTTCTTTGTTTTTTCGGCTTCCCTAACACTCGATGAAGCCAATGTTAAAGCTAACAGTCGAGTTGTCTTAGCGTTCGTCAAACAGAACACTATTTTGATTACTTACTCCTAGGTTCATCGGCTGCGATGTTAAATCATCACTTCATCAAGTGATGGTGACCGGGTTCGGCAACTCGCACGAATCCGCCTTAATACGTTATATTTTTTCCTATTTATCAAACATCGTCGTCGTCAGTACTTAGTTTATTTTTATTTTCGCGTTGTCTACGGAAGAACGATTTATGGATAAATAGAAAGTAGTCGTTTTCCATGTAACAACTGAGAAAACACAAAGTAATCGTAATGCTTCCACGGCTTTTTACAATCCTGGTGCTATTTATTAGAGTGGGAAAAGAGAATACTTACGAAGAAGCCTATCTTTTATTTTTAGGAAACAATAAAAATCGCAAGTTTACAGGTCAGAACGATAATATATCACTTGACTGCTTCGTTGATCTATTGCTAGCATATGTGACTGCTGATCATATGGTCCCGCGTTCAAATCTCGTGTCGGGTTCGAATCGGTTATTAGGTTTTACTGTCAAGAAATTATCAGTATAGCAGGTCAGAGTCAGAAAGTTGGCGGTGTTTAACCCCTATGCCTCGGAAAGCACGTAAAGCTGTTGGAACTGCGCCTGATCTTTGTCCGGTCGTGTTGGATTACTGCCTCATCGGACTATGAGAGTTAGGGAAGTACACCTGCATATGTGTGCGTGATATGAGCACTATAATCCTATATCCTAGTTTAGTATATAATCCTAGTACCCGTTGAGACTGGCCGCCGTGAACGATATTTGCACTGGAGGATATTATTATTATTGGGGGTATTTAAATAGTTTTCTCATGTGGCAGGGATGTACAAATATATAAATGGAAATGATAAATATACATAAATATAAATATATTAATATAGTGAAATAAATACATAAAGATTGCGTAAATAAATAAAAAGCCAACGAGATGGAAGCCCTCGGCAGGGGTGACCAAACGGCCGAGGGTTAGGGGGCAAGGGAGAGAAACCAACGGACGATGCGGGCGGTATCGAGAAGCACTGCCTTCTTCCTTCCTTTCTTCCTTTGAGCGGTTCGTCACGGAGTCCCAGTCGCCTCAGATGACCCGAGAGGCTGACTGGGATTAGCCCGGTCTAGATTATTATTATTATTATGACTTATTATCTCTACGTGTTTTAGTAAAATATTCGACTGTTTTACTGGTAAAGTTATCTGAATCGTTGTCTTGCAAATAAACAATTGTTAACCAGTTTGCTCTGCCTAACTGGTCTTTCCTAAGTCAGCTTAGCTCTGTTGTACCTTTCTAGCTTTTCGCGGCATCTATCCATAACACTATCTTCAAATTGTAATTGCGTTTGTTCTATACCAAATAACAAAGTCTAAGCAACTTCTTTCATTCATTCATTTCACTTCTACCAAGCCACTTCTACCAATGTGTATGCAACTTCTTACCTTGGCCCAATTTTATTTTTTTTAAAACATCAATTTCGATGAAACCTTTATACTATAATACTGATATTATAAATATATAGCTCAAAGATTATAGATAAAAGCTCTATAATTACCTATAAGTGCGTTAACGGAATCAGTAATCCTGCGTATAAAAACAACATTACTTCAGAACAATTGACCATTGCCTCCGTGTGGAAAGATGACGCAAAGCCAAAGCGGTATAGCAATACCTGGTAACGTAGTGATGTATATACTCTTTGGGCACCAACATGGCGGCGGACGTTAAACACGGCGCTCACTTTTTGCAGTTGCACGCACTAAAGTACTAACTCAGCCCATAACCCGGTCCATCACTCAGCTTTTTAATGGCCTCTTCAGACTCACCAAGAAGCCCCGAGAACACTCGGGAGCCGTGGAAATGAGTAATTTCTTTCAGTCTCGTTTTCACCCTCGCCTTTTCTCCGAACGTAGTCGGTTTTTTGCCTACTTCAAAGCAGTTTTCGGGCGAGAAAAGAGAACCACATCCCGTTTTTGTTCGATCTCAGTTAGATAAAAGTGGTGGTGCATATAAGAAATAAAATTAGAAACGTTGTTATGTTTTGAGGAATTTGCGCCAACAACCAAAGTGTTATTCCTAATTTTAATTTTTACAAGATTATACTTTGCTAATGCACGCAATGTTAAAGCCACCGATCTGAAAGTGCCGTAAGATATAAAAGAGAACGCAAATGAGAACATTTTGTTCGTGTGAGTATAGGTTTGCTCTGTCTTTCGCGAGATATTTTGGCGAGCCTACTCGCCGAACTTTTCTGACGTGATGATTTCCGAGGTGGATGAACTATATACTAGTATCTACAATATATTAAAAAGTGTAGGGAAAACCCTTAATTAAGCATATTGCGCGCACGGTGGTATCTGAGATTAGACGTGGTTAAGGTTTATATGGAGGCGGAGTACAGAAAGCTAAAATTTATATGTGTTACAAATACACTAAATTCATCATCATCATCATAACAGGCCTTCACAAGTCCACTGCTGATCATAGGCCTACCCCAAGGAATGTCACAAAACACGGTCCTGAGCCACCTACATCCATCGACTTCCTACATGTTTTACATTAAATTAAATCAAGTAAAACATACATTGTTTACGTTCATACTGCCAATGCTAACAAGTTTAAGTATTGTTTAGGTATTACTCTAGGGCCAATGTCAAACACTTAATGGTCTCTGGCCAAACAGTCGCACAGAGTAAGGATTGTTGACAAAGAATTTTAAAACAAATAATTGCTGACAGATTGACTAAATAAGCTGTAAATTATGTGCGATTTCAAAAGTTCCATTTTCTATAGTGTGTAGATAAGTCAAGGCAAGAATGCGTTTATTTTATATTTTGTATGTCAGATACCTGATTTTATAATATATTAATGTGAAGATGAAAAATGGAATACAGCTCGTTTATTATAGCAACTTAAAACTTAATGAATTACGGTAGAATTTTGACCACTACAATTACTACTGCTATTTATCTTCTATACATATAATAAAACTGTAAATAGCAGATGTCTGTACATTTTATATTTTTGTAATAAAAGTGATTGAGGGGTACTAAAAATAAGTAATTAAATACATTTCTACCATTTTTAGAATTTTCTGTCTATCTGTCTGTCTGTCTGTCTGTCTGTTTGTTTGTTAACGTATCACGTATAAAGTACTAATTTATATCATAAGAATTGTTAAGGAAATTATAAAGTGTATCTTCGGGTTACATTTAGTCTTTATTTCATTAAAATCAGTTCATTCCATCAAAAGTTATGATAAATATTCTGAAGTATGGGTAGGGAAGTATAGGTACGAATTTGCTCAACGGTGCCTTTGGTTGAGTCATCAAGTGCATTTTAAACTAATATCATATCATAAATCATAGTTAAATTATGTAAAATAATGATATAATTATGTATATCTAAAACGCAGTAAACAAAAGTATTAAAGAACGTATTAAATATATTATACAAAAATATATTAACCTTATTAACTAAATCTGAAGCACAATAGTTAACCCATTTCTTCGATAGATGGTGGTGTTGTGAAAATGTAATGCAATTGCAATGTGGTTTTTTCCTGTAGATGAGTTTTCATATTTACTGCTAATCTTTATTATATTACTCGCTGCCCTACTGCGTGTTGACAAACTCAATTTATTCTTTACCGCCGAGTACTCTATGTGGTAAATCAAATTTTAAAAGAGCTATTAACAATTGCGTTGGTTTTGGCGAGAGTCAAACTTTATTTTTTGCTTACTGTGCAGGCACTGATTTATAAGTTCTCTTGCGTATAATGTATCAATCGCGTCAATTAATCCCTTTTATTTTTAGAATTGATGTTAGCAGCGCCATCTCTCTTTAAATATATACATATAATAAAAATGATGATAACATGTTGTGTCTCTTTCTGTACATTGTATATTATATATTTTGGTGGCTAAAATCATTATGGGGAACTGAAAATAATTAAATAAGAACATTTTATAATTTTTAGAATTGTCTGTCTGTCTATTTGTCTGTTATTATATGAACGCATCACGTCTAAAGTAAACATCTTTTATTTTCAAAGAAATCGTTAAGAAAATCATAAAGCGTATCTTCGAGTTACATTTAATATTTGTTTTATTAAAATTGGTTAATTCTAACGAAAGTAATGATTATTATTTTGAAATGTAGGTTCGAATTTGTTCAATGGCGCCATAAAATCTCAGAAATAGTAATAAAAAGATTTGTGTGTAAAAAAAACGTTCCATAATAATTAATATATTTATACTTAAAACACAAAAAAAGATTTAAAAAGGATGTTTTCTCACACAAAGGACGTAATAGATGGAGTTGTACAAATTACAAACTTTTCTGAATTGCTGTGTTGAGATTTTTCACCGATGAATCGTATTGAGACTTACTGAAAAAATTTGTATCCATCGAAGCCATACAACGGAACCCGACCAAAAATAAAAATTTTGCAACGAAATGTCGTGATATTGTATTTATAATATACGCAAAATCAGTACTGCCATTTTAGCGCTTTGGGAACTAGATTTAGCGCTTTTTTGGAGTGTATAGCGCGCATTTCGAAATTTTAGCACCTAGCTTAATCCAGCGCTTTTTGGTGTATTTAGCACACATTTCAATATTTTAGCGACTAGCGGGTTATTAGCTCTTTTATAGCAGCACTGTTAGTCCACATTACCGATAATAATAATAATGACCTTTATTATTTTTTCCCACAAATAGTACATTGCAGTTTATCTTTTTCAAACATATTTTTTCCACAAAACAAAGAGCATGGGAGACGAGTACAAACTAGGATACCCTGTGCTATGGATCTCCTGGCTTCCCCTTTAGGATGATCAACTTGATTTTTTAACCGACGACTATAAGCGGGGAAATCCCCTTTATTAAAGTTTTCGTTCATGGTTTTGGCAACGCATTTATTTTGCTTTATTCAGTTTCAGTCAGTTGCTTAGAGCACTGCTAAGTTAAAAGTTACTTAGAAGTTATAACACAAAGAAACTGTGTAGCAACCGCAATCAGATGCTGACATCTGAAACTAAGTTGCGAAATACATTGCATTTTAAAACAATTAATGATATTTTTATTGTTCGTACAGTACTAACTACTGTTGACAGCAATTGCCATAATTATAAGTCGATGTCCTGCGAAGTATTGATACATCAAAAAAATATTGCCAGAAAAAAACTTAATGTTGTTTTCTTTATCATGATTATATAAAAAAACACAAACTTTGTTTGTAGTTAATTTAGCGCGAAATCTAGGGCTTTTTTAAAGCGCTGTTTTCATGAAATCTAGCGCTTTTTGTGTTGTCCTAGAGCTGAATGAGTTTTTTTTTATCTGGCAGCACTGCCCAAAAACCCTCTATTAAGAAGTAACTTTCCTTTCAGTTTAAAGCGCGTTCAGTTTCCAGTTACAGTGAGCGTGTGTTATGCGATGACCGTAAATAAAGCGCAAGGTCAAACTTTACGCGTTGTAGGAGTGCACCTCAGTACTGACTGTTTTGCACATGGCCAACTTTATGTTGCTTTTTCCCGCATTAGTAGCCCCCGTAACCTTTTTGTGTACACCCCGGCTAAGCCTACTTCTAACGTCGTTTACACAGAAGCTCTATCATAAACGGCTTAGAACTTTGATGATAATGATTTATTTAGTTACCACTTATTGATACAGTAATGAAATAAATCGTTTAATATTCTCTTACCTAAACGATAAATTCTTTATGTAAAACCTGTACCTATACGCGAGCTACGCCGCGGGCACAGCTAGTACATAATACTATTACTAATATTATAATTACGTTTTTTCGGAATCCTTAGTCCTTCATTTTGTCCGGTTTTGCAGTGCATATTTGCAGTGTAGTACATAGGTTGTATACCAATTGGTGAATTGGATTACTTGGTTGCTCTGTGGTAAATCCTATTTACTTACCTGTTTTGCGTTACTTATTGTGTCACTACACAACAAGTAATGGAAGGAAGCGGTGTAAGAGACCACAGGGATGTCTTTAGAGGCTACAGAGGGAAACTGAAACAGGAAAGGGTAGTATTATCTTCCTGATAACAATTGGAAATAATAAAAAAAACATACGTGAGTGTCGTGGAACACTCGGTTGGAACGAAGTTCATTTCGTAGTATAATCTATTAAAGTGAAGCGGCATTTAAAATTTAAATAATATTTCTTTCATGGCAAGATAAGAAAAAGTGCGATAGAGATGGATATTAGTCCATCTCGCTTCCTTATAACCGCCAAGGTCATCTACATCACGTCAGAAGGGGTCGTAACTGAAAAATCTTAGACTTTTTCTCGTCTAGCGCCCATCCGCTAAATAATTCGTACCGTCTGATAAGGAACTTTGTTCCAAAAAACTTCGATTTCCATCTTGCCAAACGTTTAAATAGGCTGTGAATTAATGAAAAAGTAAATAATTATTTTAATAACACTTGTTTTCATTGTAGTTACAGCAGCAGAAATGGAAGTGGAAACAGCAGCACTCTACCATGCTGAGCTTTGGTCAGAAATAGAAAACTTAAAATCAATAGTTGACCAAAAAGAAAAGGAAATTTCTAAATAAAATTAATTATATTGTAAATTATTTACAAGAATAAATAAAAGTTAAAAGAAAAAAAAGTTAAAACCTACCTACAAGTGAAATTTAATTAATGTAATAACTATTACATACGTTATGAATAGAAGGAATATGTCGACCAAATATCTCAAAAAGAAAGAAAGGAATAATCGTTTATTACGTCGACTGTTTTTTTTTCAAGACAATACTGCATTTTCACATTTCTCAGTCAAATTACATACCTGTTTTAATTTGACACTATTTTTTCTCTACATAAGCGTTCGTTTGTATTGTAATAATAAATGATTTAATAAGTTAGAAATCTTTCATTAATTTTGTCCTAGCCTTGTCCTAATTTTAATATATAATCAGACCTGTGTTCTAATTATTAGGGATTTTCGTCGCCAAACTACAAATTAAAATACTAATTACGCACTAATAAATAAGTAGGTACCTCGTTCCAGCAACGGCTGTGTATGACGACCACCCACTAGAATAGGTACAAGATGATAGTGATAATGTTTTCTTATATTTATGCGGACACTACACGTTAAATGAAACTAATTTTACGGATTTTATCGCGTTTAATTATAACTTTTTAATTTCCGACGTTTCCTGATATTTTTGTTTGTCCTATGTAAAAGAGACCGCCTTCACAATCAAGCTTGTATACTCCTGCATATTGTAGAGGGATATTACACTTGACGGATGGTAGAATTAACTAATCTTTTTCGGTGGCTTGTAAGTTTTAATGGAAGCTCGCTTTAAGATGTAGCCAATATTGTCTATGACTCCCCTGACGTATGGTAGGCAGGCACAAACTTGAACGGGGCCGGTTTCACTCGGTCACTGTGACGAAGGCGCAGGACCCGAAGCTTGTTGTCTTGCAATTTTGTAAAAGAAGCTTTACGTGTTACGCTCGGCGGCCAGATGATGTTTTCTGTCACAGATCCCTTGTGCGCTCTGAAACAAATATTTTCCCACGGTAGCAAACTGATTGAATGGTGGTGAGATTCACCATTTTACACTACATTTCATAACATTAACATCGGTTGGTATGGGTCGTTTTCCTTCCTATACACAGTGTGACCAATAGTTGTTATTAAGACATCTAGAAAAAATAACGAATTATTTGCTACTAACTCTATTATGAATTGTATTTTAGAGTTCATAGAGTTAAGGTGGTGTATAAATGCAGTTATTTTGTCAAATGGTAAAATTGTGAAAGTCTCAGTTGTGTATCGCTAGCAACGCAAAGTCGGGAATTTGCATTTGGAAAAATCCAAAATTAGGGGCTTTTTAGGTTCTAATTAGGTGCCAAGTTTAAAAATTAGGTGCTTTAAAATTTTCACCGCAACGAACTGTTGAAATTTGCGTTGCTAGCAAAACGTCTCGCTAGCAACGCAATGAAGTTATTAGATATACCATACATATTAATAGCAAGGAATTAAGTGCTAATTAGGTGCTGCAAGTATAAACAATAACAAGGCGCCCCTAATAAAAATAAAGTCGTTATTCAGAACATAGCAGACGCAAAATTCAGATTTCCTGAAAATCAAAATAGAATCAAAATTGCTTTCAGAAAAAGTCCAAATTAGGGGCTTTTTAGGTGCTAATTAAGTACTAAGTTTAAAAATTTGTACCATTGAAATTTTGCGTTGCTGGCAAAACGTATCGCTAGCAACGCAATAAAGTTATTAGATATACGATAAATATTAATAGCAAGGAATTAAGTGCTAATTAAGTGCTGAGCGATTATCGAAACCCGATAAAGATTAAGATATTATTCTGGGAATTATGGGGTTCACGACCACCATTACCTTACCATAATGTATGAACAGCATATTTTGTTCTTTATCAGTACCTAAAAATTAAGTGCTAATTAGGTGCTGAAAAATTATTGAGGTCGCGTGTAGAAGACGGTAATATTCTGGAAATTAACGGATTTAAAACCACCATTACCTTACTATAAGGTATGAACAGCATTTTTTGTTTTTCAGATTTAATATGATTATATTTGAAAATGGTTGAAAATTGGTTGAAAATTATATTAAATTAATATAATTTTCAACCAAATAAATGTTACAATTCTTATTTTTAGACATGTGAAGCCTAAACTTTATGTGCTAAATCGAAAGGATTTTTTCTTTCCAGTAAATTGTTATGTAATAAATATCACCATCTACAACGTTCTATAGTTCTAGTAATTTTATCAAATCAAAATCGATGGACTCTCAAGGTGGTAAGTACGATAGATGCTAGATGGCACAAACACAAATACCTGATTTTTGCATTTGCTTTGCTGAATAATTTTCTGAATAAGGACTTTATTTTTATCTGAGGCGCCTTGTCATAGCCTATACTTGCAGCACCTAATTAGCACTTAATTCCTTGCTATTAATATTTATCGCATATCTAATAAATTCATTACGTTGCTGGTAAAACGTATCGCTAGCAACAGTTTCAACAGTTCGTTGGAGGGTAAATTTTAAAGCACCTAATTTTTAGACTTGGCACCTAATTAGCACTGAATTTTTAGACACTGATAAAGGACATAAAATGCCGTGCATACCTGACGATAAGGTAATGCTGGTAATGGACCCTATAATTCCCAGAATAATATCTTAATCTGTATTAGGTTTCGATAGTTTATACGTGGTAGAGCCATACTGCAGCTATATTATGGTTGTAGCAAGTATGGGTCGGCTCGACCGGGGAAGGACCACGCTCTCACAGAATACCAGCGTAAAATAGCAGCTTAACGCTGCTGTGTTTCGTATGGTGAGTGTAGAGAACCGGAGACCCTTTTTACTGGAAACGAGGCATTCCATGCGAGTCCTCATGGGTGACAACGCATCTGCATTTTGATTCGTAATCGAAGATAGATGTAGATGTCTATGGGCCGCAGTAACCACTTACCATCAGGTGGACTGTGTGCTCGTTTGTCACCCTTATCCTATAAAAAAAATCCCTCAGCACTTAATTAGCACTTAATTCCGTGCTATTAATATTTATCGTATATCTAATAACTTTATTGCGTTGCTAGCGAGGCGTTTTGCTAGCAACGCAAATTTCAACAGTTCGTAGCGGTGAAAATTTTAGAGCACTTAATTTTTAAACTTGGTACTTAATTAGCACCTAAAAAGCCCCTAATTTGGACTTTTTATGAAAGCAATTTTGATTCTATTTTGATTTTCAGGAAATCTGAATTTTGCATCTGCTATGCTCTGAATAACGACTTTATTTTTATTAGGGGCGCCTTGTTATTGCGTATACTTGCAGCACCTAATTAGCACTTAATTCCTTGCTATTAATATTTATCGTATATCTAATAACTTTATTGCGTTGCTAGCGAGGCGATTTGCTAGCAACGCAAATTTCAACAGTTCGTAGCGGTGAAAATTTCAAAGCACCTAATTTTTAAACTTGGTACTTAATTAGCACCTAAAAAGCCCTTAATTTGGACTGTTTATGAAAGCAATTTTGATTCTATTTTGATTTTCAGGAAATCTGAATTTTGCATCTGCTATGCTCTGAATAACGACTTTATTTTTATTAGGGGCGCCTTGTTATTGCGTATACTTGCAGCACCTAATTAGCACTTAATTCCTTGCTATTAATATTTGTCGTATATATAATAACTTCATTGCGTTGCTAGCGAGACGTTTTGCTAGCAACGCAAATTTCAACAGTTCGTTGCGGTGAAAATTATAAAGCACCTAATTTTTAAACTTGGCACCTAATTAGCAACTAAAAAGCCCCTAATTTTGGATTTTTCCAAATGCAAATTCCCGACTTTGCGTTGCTAGCGATACACAACTGAAAGTCTCGTCTACGTACCACTTGTAGAATATTGGATGAACAGGTGTAAGAAGGGCTTTCTCCTCAAAGTCCACCTCTCATCGCCAAACCTTCTACTTGCTTGTAGAACTCCTCCTTCTATGATACCGATAGCCCATTAAGAGGCAGTGTTTGAGTAATACTGCATATTCTGCAGGCATGTTGTTTTCTTCTAGCTTCCTACTTACAATTGTAATGCAGTCTTCAATAGGTAGGTATGTAAATAGTTACTACTGAAAATCAAAACTGACCATAGTTTCGAGCTTTAGAGTTCGCGGTCCGCACCCTGGCACTTAGGCCTATATCGCTTCAAATACGAATCCTTTGTGTATGCTCTGGTGTGTCCTATCAGTGGTGACAATATAAGTGTTGAGCCAAGTTATAAGTTGGTGAAACCATATGGCTCACTATGAGACGTTGTGGAGCGGATGGTTTATGTATTTCCGGTAACTCATAGAACCTCGATGGCTTAGCATATAATCGTATTATCGATTTCACTAATATTTATACCACACAGTGAACGAGTGAATCCCGCCGCGGTCAAGCGTGTGCCTGCTGTACTAGCATACGTCAGAGAAGTCACAGTACGGGAGTGTACAAGCTTCATTGTGAATGTGGTCTCTTACATAAGACAATCAAAAAGATCTTTAAAAACATGCGTAAAAGAACATAGCTAACGTGAAGCACCGACGCTCCGGGAAGTCTGCAGTCTGTGAACATGTTCAAGGTCATCCCCGCCATTACAATTGATAGGCCACAAAAGAACACCGATTACTACCAAGGATTCGCAGGGCTATTGAATTAATAATAATAATAATAATAATAATAATTATTATTATTTTATTGTCAAAAATAAATCACAAGAAATTTTATGAAGTCTCTGACTCCTAAACTAGACGAGTCTGTATCTTAGGAATCAGCGGCCTCTCCCAGAGTTGTACTAAAAGAACGGGTAATACTAAAAGAACTATGCATGTTTTCATTGTTGAAACAAAAGAAAAGTAAACAACTTTACAAATTTAACAAATTTACAAAATTAAATCAAAAAATAATAAAAGTTGTAATATAATAAAGTATTCTATATGTGTTATATTTAATACTAAACATCTATACTATACATATATTTAATATATATATATATATATATATACAAGACGAGCACACACACATATATATGTGTATATATACTTATATAATTATCAATATATATATATATATATACATATATATATATATATATATATATATATACATATATAAATATTAAAGTTCATATATAAATTATGCATAAACATAAACGAAACGTTAATATTAATTGTCCACACATTAATCACTTCCCTGTTTTTGTTTATTTATTTATTTTGAAACTATAAATTAAATTAATAAATTAAATTAAATCAAATTAAATTAATAAATTTTCTGTTTTATTGTAATCTAATGACAACAACCAATCACGAACTTTAATTTTACACTCGTGTTTTGAAAGAGGATAGAAATATCCTAATTTCAATAGAGATGGGATGGGATACAACGACTTGCTTGATGCATCCTGTAATTAATAAAATTAAATGCAAACCCAAGCATACCACTGCAAGATTTCAAGATACTGTAAGTTCGTTCTTCTTAATATTTCAAAACTGAAGGTAACTATAACATCGGGGCATCAAACACCTTAGTCCCCCCACCCCTGTGAAACGTCGGGATTTAAAAAGATAAAATTAAAACGGTGAAATCCTTAAAATTAGTTTTCATTTATTAGATTTTCTCTGGGTTCGTCCGCCAAGACGAATTCCTGCCCACATTATGATTGTCCCGCCTTGGTATGAGTGGACCTCCTGAGGGTGCCATAGACGGCTAACTCTCCCTGGATTTCTCCAAACGCGTGTTCTTCGTGAATCCGGATGAAACCCAAACCGAGACTCATCGGTGAACAGCACCAAAGATCATTGTTCGTCACTCCATGGTAAATGCTCCCGAGCCCACGAAAGCCGCCGACCGTGATTGCCACGACGCAATGTTGGAACACGTAGCGGTCTTAAAGACCACCTTGATGCAACCTCCTTCGCACTGTTTGGTCGCTAACCAGCAGCTGGTGGTCCTCCTGGAGCTTTTGCAGTAGTTGCATCACTGTGATATTGGGTTGTCTTCTGGTGGTCATTTGGAGAAATCGATATTGTTTCTGACACGATATCTACCCATGTGCCGTTCAGCAAGATCCCCAGTACTGCGATAACGTGACCACGACCTTGATATCACGTTTTGGCTGGTGTGTAGGGCCTCAGCAACGACGCGTTAAATAACACCATTTTCTAACATCCCTACGGCTCGTAACATTTCATCTCGACTCAAATGACGACGTCACATGACTCTTAAAGCTCATACGGCACGTACAATTAAAAAAGAAAAATATTCTAATCCATTGAGTTATATGGTACGTAGTACATATAACTCAATGATTCTAATCCCTTTTCATTAATTAATATCAGTAGAACAATTTTAATTTTCCTTGACGTAACGAATTACTAACAATTTTGCTGCCGTATTTTGTTTTTTATTTTTTTTTATATACATTTTTAAATTTTGAAAATAGAATAAAAGAAGTTTCAATCTATATATAAACTTTTATGGAAACTAAATAGATTTTAAACTCTAAAGTCGTAAATAATTCAGGATTAAGGTATCCCTAGATTCTGTTGATGTGTTATAATATAAACACATTGTGTTATAAAAACATTAACTGGGTGGTACTTTTTTGCCTAGGAGTCTGTCCGTGTAGGTAGCACTCACTGTGTCCCGGTCTAATGGGTATAGATAGTTAATATAATTGAAGACTGTGAGGCATTACACCTTAATCCTCATAGGTGACAACGCACTTGTAGCCTTCTTTGTTTGAAGTAGGCTGCTGGCATCCATACACTGCAGTAAACATTTAGCATAAGGTGGACTGTAAGTTCGTTTGTCACTTCAGTTTTATAAAAAATTCTAATTAGTTATTGAGATTTTCTGTCAAGAAATTCTTAGCAGCAGCATGGAGGCAGGATGTTGACGTGTCATAAGAAATTTTGAACTCTACGCGAAAAACGACGTTTGAGGTTGTACCGACAAAAATATTATTTCGACGCAAACAAAATCTAAAAGGAGAACATGAGTCGTGATTTTTCGAAATGATGTCGTTTTCCAGCCTACACGCGGGCGAGGGCGCGGGCAAAAGTTAATTAGGAATAATTTTATGGTAAAAAAAAAAATTAAATTTATCTACGATAAATCAATTCGTTGACCAAATTAAACTGTGAATAATTTTCAAATTATTAACGCACTGGGTACAATTATTACTAAATATAAAAAAATGTTACTTAAAGTAGTTGTAAAATCTTGCGTGAACAGTGTATTAAGTAGCATATAGTCATGAACATACAGGGTATAATAAACAGTTTCTTTTTACTCTTGCCAATTACTCTTGCAATAACTTCGGATTTTGTTTTTGAGTTTGGTAAGTAAATGTTAATAACATTTTCGATAACTTTCTACATATAATACATGGACAATTATATCAAACATTTTCTTTACTTGCGAGAAAGGCCTTTGTTAGTAGTTGGATATTATCTACATAAAACAGAACTATCAAAAATGTTTCTTCGTATTTTATATACAAATTTAATACTTTTTTTTCATAGTTAATTACATTTAATTATAATATACATATATAAGCCATTTTCTTCTATACTTGTTGCCATCTTGTAGGTAGTGACGTAGTCCCGTTGCTGTAGAAATCTTGGGATATTTGATCAAAAAAATGCGACAAGTAGTTTTGACAGTCATCTCTTGATGTTAACCTAACACTACCCAAAGAATTCTGAAAAGACCGAAACTGGTGAAAATCTGAGGGTGCAAGGTCAGGACTATATGGTGGATACATTAATACTTCCCAACCAAGCTCTCTCAATTTTTGCTGAGTGGTCAAAGATATGTGTGGTCTGGCGTTATTATGATGAAAGGCCACTCCTTCTCTGTTGATCAACTATGGCCGTTTTTACTCAATTTATTGCTAGTCTCATTAGTTGTTGGCAGTAGAGATCTGAATCGATGGTTTTGCTCGGCGGTATAAGCTCATAATAAACGGTGCCCTTCCAATCCCACCATACACTCAGCATCACCTTATTGGTTTTTTCTTATATATTTTTTCTTCTTTATTACCGTGTTAATTCGGATTTCGCTACAGTCTGTGGAGCTTGACTACTCTTTGACCATGATCTTTTTCGCACGTTCTTGTCGTAGGTAATCCGCGTTTCAATTCAGAATCACAAATGAGTATGTGTGAAACCCAATGAATCGTTTATTAGGTTTCTTTCAGTGAGCTCGTGTGGTACCCAAATATCGAGCGTTTTTGTATATCGAGACTTTTTCAATTGGGTCAAAACTATTTTGTAGTAAATCCTCCATGCCGATCTTGTTCAACTTTTTAGACATCGAAATTCCCGGACTGAATTCTGAATTCGAAACCTGAACCAACTTTGTGCTACTCTTACTGGCACTGCATTAGGTCTATAAATGTCACAATTTTTCTTCAGTATGCCTACGAACTCATTCGTTAGATTCACTCATTTTGGCGGACAGCAAGCAATTGAAAAATGGCGCGAAATTTTTTTTTTACTTTTTCTTTTTCGTTTTCTTAATGTACTATTGATATTAAAACCAGCCAGATACAAACTGTATAATCAAAGAGATTATTCTTCAATTTTATACAACAAAATGCGAAGAAACTTTTGCCCCGATCTATTATAAAAATAACTTGCAAAATTGCAAAAAAAAAACCTCGAAAATGACTCGACCGATTTTGATGAATTTTTTGTGTGTATTTGATGGCAATTGGACCCGGTAAGTAGCGCTGCTAATCCCGTGCTAAGCCGGGCCGGATCACTAGAGATATATAAAAGTATAAAAAATATAGTAATAATAATATGTAACGAGTTATGTACACTTTCATAAAATTTATTTTTAAGGCATCGATCAAGGCGACGTCATTTATCACACAGATGGCACAATATATTTTTTAAATCCATTGACATCCGTTGAAATTCCAGTAAGTAATCAAATATAATACAAATAAATAAAACCTTAAATCAGTATAACTTAACAGTAAGGACTTCGCTATATAATAATCTTTGCTATTTTTTGGTCATGCTCAGGAGTCAGGACCGTGCTCTGTGGCAATGTGTAGAAGATGCTTATTTTCTATACAGAAACATAAATAATATTGAAGTGTCTGTCTGTAATGGGTTATTTTCATGCTGTTAAGATTTTTTTTTAATTTGTTACTTCTTAATGTATGTTTTTCTGGGCTAATTAACGGTGTGTCCGAACCAATTGTGATACAACTTTACGAACAGGTAGAGAGCAATGCCAGGAGGGATCTAAGCTATATTTTGTACGAAAAACTTGAAGATTTTTTAAAAAGGAAAAATTTATAAAATAAATGGTTTGATGATTATTCCATAAACTATAAAACATATAAAAAAGTCATCAAGACCGTCAGACTGACCGAAAATAATTCAAAAAATGGTTAGGTATATACGTCATTTTAGGTTGGAATGTTATTAAGCATGCAAATAACCTTCTGATTAGATGTCAGTTATTTCAACATTACGGACATACACTTTTGTACTTTTATACTCAATTTTATTTATATGTGTAGATATATATAGATTAAATGACATAGTATACATGGATGGCATGTCGTATTTTCAGTTGCCATGTGATTCAATGTAGCTCTACAGTGGACTTATGATGGGCTGTAATGATGATGATGATGATGTGGTGCCATGTCAACATATGTGGTTGATGATTATCAATATCATAATTATTACAGATGGGTATTAACCATCTGATTACGATCATTGTTAATTGATTAAATAAATTGATTAATACGTTAATTTATTATTTTTAAGTTATCACATAGTTAATGTATATATTTTTAATTTTGACAGGTTCCCGATGGCGTTACTGTTACGTACGTTAAAGTCACTGTTAATGCACTATCACCTCCTAAAGTGGACTATGATAATTTATATCGCAAAGTGATCATTAAATATAGTTGGACACAGATCAGTCAATCCACGTATAATGTTTTAGTAAAAGGAATGAAAGTTAACAATGGTTAACTTTCATTCTTTTTACTTTTTCAAAGACAACTGAAAACTGTTTAAATTGAACATGGAATAAATGTAAAAAATTGTGTTCAGTCCCTCAAAACACCTGTGAAAATTTTCAATAATCTTTATTAGCGTGTTGCTAGCATTAATTATTTGTAACTAATGCTACTTTTCTAACAATATAAACTTGTATATAATATGCGTATTTTTTAACTGAAATGAGATGCCACTCAACCAGGTTGCCCTGTACACTGTTTGAAAAGTTAAATAAATCATTAACTAGCCTTTTTTATTACCTACTGCATAATAAATATGTAGAAGAGTCGTGTCTGTAATTCTAATATATTATTGAAAAAACAAGTCCAGGGGACTAAATAAAGGGTAATGAAGCAAAATTTGTAGTTTTTAGAATTGTTGTGTGTCTGTCTGTCTGTATAGTCAGAATTCACGCAAAATTTGACCGATATTGGACCGATATACATGAACTTATGTATGTAGTTAGTAACCCGGTGCAACTTATAGTATACTTTTTATCCGATTAGGGAACTTCAAAATAAGAATGTTAAATGTTTTCCTTCCTTTAGATGTTAACTTTCTATTATGTGTGGTTATGTTAGTTATAGGGGGGATGACGGGTGTTTTTTCAAATCAATACCATATTTATAAATTAAGTTTAAAATATAGTTATAACCTTGGTAAAATAATTTGAAACTACGCCGACGATCTACGTTTCAGTTATCAAAACATAGCCATCCACCTATGATCATATGGAAAAGTAGTCTATTTCACCTTCGTACCCACCTACCTAACGTTTCCTTTTTTTTAGTTTCTTCGTTATTTCATTTTAAAAGTGTAATAATTTCAATAGGTAATAGTGACGTCTTTCAAAAATATGAAAATAATGAAATGCTAATGAATATTATTCGCTTAGCAATAAAAACATAAATACCGGTGGCCATTATCGGGGTGATTTACCGCAATTACCACGTTTAGCAAAGTTACTAGCGACACTATTATGCTGGACACTATACACAAAACTGTGATTAAGGAAGAAGCTCTTTAATTTCATAAATTGGGTGTCTATCGGCATAGCTTTAATTTGACCAACTTCGTTGGATGGTCAACAATCGTGCAAAAGCTTTGTTTGGCTTTGTTCCAGTTTTTATGAACCTTATTTAAACAAATAATACGAGAGCAGTGTAGCTCGCCGTGAGATTTCATCATGGCACGGGAGCAAAACGTGTACGATTCCCTCGAGGACAAATTAATGTGTTATGGGAAATTTTACTGGCTGACTTACCACGTGTCCCGTGAAGTGGTAAAGAATAACTTCGTGAGGAAACCTAGCTATCTGAGTAGTTAAAAAAGTCGTGCAAATGTGAAAACCGTTAATACGCATTGAAGTATTGCTGCATACACTTTTTTGCTCACAAAATACAATAGGTAGGGCGTTGGTTAGTCTACTTCTAATTTTCACATTTTTACATTATCAATAGACTCTATTAACACCTATTCTGCTCTCCTGTCCAGCGAGCAGTTTGGCGAATAGCTCTGGGGGAGAACGCATGTCGTGTTGATCCCCAGGGCAAGTCTGAGGAGTTCTTCCTTCATGTGGTTGCCGCCTATTATTTGGTCTGGAAACAAATAGAACAAAAATACTCAGACGATCCTCATTTTCTTTTCTTTTTATCCCACCCCCTTTTTTCCTATCTTAACCCTACAAGCCGAGAAGTGAAGGGCACTTCTGAGGCCGAACCACAGTCGGAAACGAACTAGGGAGGGGAAAAGAAAAAGTTCACTAGGCCTTATAAGCTTAATGGGGCAGCACGGAAGAGGTACCGAAGGCTGATAGCAGCTTAAATAGGAGCCGAAGAGGCCCTTTCTCTCTGCCAGAACCCCTGGGACGAAATTCCTCTGCCCAAACCTCTCCCAGTTCCAAAGGCGAAAAAACGCAGTTGGTCTGAGGAGGAGTCCCCAAAGACCAACCCAGGAAATCTGTGAAGCTGGCATCGGGGGAGAAGAAGCTCAACTTCAGTAACGTAGCTGGCTCCGCGTGTGTAGGAATTCGCAATTCAAATCCTATGAGCGTGGAACAGATGTGGCTGGTCCACCTGGCACTAACGCAGGCTATTGCTAAGACGGCCTTTGGAGCGCAGCCGGGAATGGACCAAAATTTTTGGGTTTTACCCACAAGCCAGGTTGGATTCTGGTAACGTGTCTGAATAAGGCAAGCCAAGACTATATTATGGGTGAGATCGGAAAACTGAAACCCTGGCCGGAGGCTGAGCTCGCGATAATAACCGAGAGCGAACTGCCTAAGCCTCAATTGGGCATTACCTTTCTGCCCCGCAGCGAAGCTGACTCACCAGAGGAGGTGGCTGTGCTGTTGAAGGCACAAAATGAAGGGCTCCATACCGAGCTCTGGAAAATTCTCTACCGTAAGGACGAGGAGAATGGGTTCCTAGTAACCTTTTCTCTGGACAACCCATCGGCGAGCGGCAGGCGGCAGCGTCGTCCTTGGCTTTAAAATGAAAACTTTTAAGGTCAGGGGAGGCTCTGACGCAGCAATGGAGCCTGAACCGCCCCAACTCCCCAATCCCCCCAGTCCTCCACCTCGAGGGGTGAGACTGGAACGACATCAGTGAGAGTGACTGTGACCCAAGGCGCTGATCTCGCCTCGGTCTGAGGCCCACCGCTGGTGTCGGCCAGGGGTAAGGGGAAGGGAGGTGGGAGCGGTAAACCAAAAGGTACGGCCGGGGTCAAGTGCACCGGTAAAGGACGTCTTCGTCCTAAGCAGGCGAAAACGATAAAAATATTGAACTTATAGGGATATATACATCTTAAGGTATGCACAGGGGCCAGAGTAATCATTTGCTCAACTTATCTTCCTGGAGAGAACCCAGATCTTGCCATGAGTGGCGGAGTTCACCCGTAACTTGTGGTGGGATGTGATGGTAATGCTCACCACACAGCATGGGGAAGCACTAACATCAACGAAAGAGGTGAGTTACTTTTTGACTTTCTCATATCCAATCGCCTAGTATACTTAGAGTGTACACCATTCTTTGTAACGCGTGTTAGGCAGGAAGTTTTAGATATAAACTTTGCCACCAATAACATATCCAGGCGGATTACTGATTGGCTTGTTAGTAGTGCAAATTCGATGTCTGATCACAGACATATTAAGTTTGTGATTAGAGCATCACCAACTTATGAAACTGTTGCTTTTAGGGATCCAAAAGCGACCTCCTGGGATGTCTATAGAGATAGCCTAAGAAAGAATTTAGGAAACGTTTCCTAAAAGCATAATAACGATTGAAGGTCAGGAGTTAGTGGCGGAGACGGTAACCATAGGTATCTGTGAAGCCTTCGAAGACAGTTGTCCCGTTAAAACCAAGACCTCAACACGAAAAGTTCCTTGGTGGAACACAAAGCTAAAGCATCTTATGGAAAAGATCAGGAAACTATTCAATAGAGCTAAAAGAACCAAAGGTTTTTTATTTTATTTTTATTTTTATAGTGCAGTATGTTAGTAGTTTATAGAGCATCGTGGAGGAAGCTATGCGAGGAAATTGAGTCTTTGCCTCGCAGTGCAAGACTACACAAAATGCTATCGAAAGCTAAACCTAATCAGATCGGGCTTCTTAAAAAGGCTGATGGTAACTTCACTAATAGTGAAACGGAAACACGAGCTACTAGCGTCAACCCATTTTCATCATTTTCCAGGGTCACATATGACTCTGGCCTCGAACTCTTTCAGAGCCCTACGAAGGCCCTGTAATGAGGACCGGTAGGGCTACAATGATAATAAGACCAAACCAAACAAAGTACTTTATCATTAATCATACAAAGAGCCCTAGACGCCATAAACAATTTGTGCAGGGATAACAGTTTATCAGTTAATGCTGATAAAACTGTAATAATACCCTTTACCAAAAAGAGACGGTTGGACAAATTAGTCACACCAAAACTTAATGGTAAAGAAGTACCATTCTCGACTAAAGTTAAGTACTTGGACGTAACAATCGACTAAAAACTAACGTGGAACTCTCACCTTAGCGATGTATATTATAAGGCTAAAATTGCTTTAGGTACGTGCAGTTGCATGGTTGGAAATGACTGGAGCTTGTGTCCCAGTATGAGCCTATGGCTGTACAGCAGTATAATGAGGCCGATTCTTAGTTACGCCTCCACTCTGGTGTAATACGGCCAACCAAAAGACGACTGCGGACAGACTAAATAGTCTACAAAGGACTGCCTGCTTAATGGCAACTGGAGCGATGCGATCATCGCCTGTAGCGGCTCTTAATGCACTTTTAGGCCTAACGCCCCTTGATCTTTATTTAGACAAGGAGGCGAAGGCTAGTTTGTATAGGATTAATGCTCAGGGCGGTTTTAGCTTGCTTTCCTATAGATTGAGATCCATGCTCGACTCAATCAAGGAAACACCGGTCTTATGCCTGATCTCACATCATGAGTCCACTATATACCTACTTTTAACAAAAAGTATACAGTGGAACTACCCTCCTGAGAAGACTGGCTGAATGGACAGGTTATCTGTGAGGTCGGTAGCCTTATATGGTATACCGATAGGTCAAAAATGGGCCTCAACGTAGGCTTTGGAATTTATGGAGAACGCCCCAAACTTAGTATGAATTTGGGTAGATTCGCCTCTATCTTGCAGGCAGAAATTTTCGCCATACTTCAGTGTGCGGAAATGAATCTGCAAAAACTCTACGTTAACCGTATAATCTATATTAACTCTGATAGTCAAGCAGCACTGCTAGCGCTGAGATCAAACTTGGTGAACTCGAAGCTAGTTAGAAACTGTGTGAACCGTCTAAACTCCCAGGGAGGTAACAACAAGGTCATTTTAAGATGGGTTTCGGGTCATGTGGGTATTGTAGGCAATGAAACTGCCGACAAACTCGCACGGGAGGGCTCAAGGAGTACACAATTGCACCCGAGACATTTTGTGAAATCTCAAAAAGCCTCGCCCGTATGACCCT